TGTTTTAAATGAAAACTTTAAGTTTATGACTAAATACTAATAATGCACTTTTCTAGGAAGGAGACATGTATCCCTTTTGGTTTATAACAATGACAGAACAAGGGAATGCTGACCTCCTGGTTGTCTCGGACACACTAGGTGCCTTATAAAGCAGAGTAGGCCCCAGAGGCTCTCAGACACATGGGGATTAGAGTGGTGAAAATGTACAGTTGATTCTCTTCCCTTGGTTTATTCCATCTTGGTTCTCATTTACGTTCCTTCCCCCTCCATTCCCATCTTATTCGTTGGCTCCTCTTACCCCCAAACCGTATGTTGGGTTCCCCAAGGATCAGTCTTTTGATCTTGTCTCTCCCTACAATGCACATTTCCATGCTCATGGCTTCATCTAAAGGCTTAACATGTCCAAATCTAAATCCAGCCCAGGCTCCTCTTTTAAGCTTCATTCCATATATCCAGCTATCTGCAGACACATATTCACTTGGCTGGACTATGATCTCAAACCCAAGCACCAAATTAATTACTCTCAACCACCTCCCACAACTTGGGGCTGCTTCTTCTGTGTTCCTTCGTTATTGCCCAATCCAGACACAGAGAAATAATCTTAGATTCCTCTGTCACATTCTGTTTTAATTAAGTGACTTTGATTCTACCTCCTAAATCTTTCTATCCCTAAACTCACTGCCTTCATTCTTGTAAAAGCCTTGTAAATAGTCTTCCCACCTCCAATTTCATTATTTCCCAATATTTTGCCACACGTTTTCCCCCAAATACTCTTTCTCATTTGTTCATCTCACCACATCCTGAGGGCTAACTAACATGCACTGGCTGTTCATAGCTGATACATTTCTGATTGGTAAGGGGCTATGTCACGTAGTCGTCAAATATTCAGAATATTACCCTGATTGTTACTTCCTTGCTTGAACCCTCCAATGGCTCCCCAACAACTTGATCTCTTTAGTGCAGTACATCATGCCTTGTTCTCAGACCAGTGCCAAGTCACCATGTCATGCCACCTAAACTTTTCTAGTTTCTCCAATGCAGGGCTTCTTCACCTGGGGTCTACAGACCTATGTATGTCCATGACTTGTGGGTCAGGATCATGTGAACTTGAGGAAAAATCATATCTTAATTTTAATTAAACTTTACCATTTGGCATTTCCCTTAGTTATAAATAGAAGCAACAAACTGGTATTAGTAATGCCTATATTTAGTAACCTATAAAAATTTTGGATATTTTAAAATCACAGTAAACTTGTAGATAACTAAGAATTTAATTAAACTTTTCAGTACAAATTTGCCACAGCAATTCTATTATATTTTGTTATTCAATGTGTTAATAAATATGCACACATTACTATATCACAGATCAGTTTTTAAAATATTTTGATAATTATATTTTGGTATAATTGTCTTCTTTTGTAACCTCCTGTATTTATTTTATGTCCTTAAAAACATTATTCTTAGAAGAGGTTCACATATTTTATGTGAGAGAGCCAAAGAGATCATTGTTACAAAAAATTTTAGAATCTATACTCCAAAGGATTCCCAATTGATGTCTCACACCATCCATCTATGTAGCATATGTTTATTGATTGTTTTAAAATCAAGTACTATGAATTGTGCTGGGTCCCAAGGGAATCCCAAAATGAGGATAATACAGTTCCTAACCTCAAGGTGAAAGACAGAGGACCATATAAATACTGTCTGACAAATGCAATATTATCAATTTATATATGTAGCCATGAGAGTCAAAGGGAAGACCATCTTACCAAAACCAGGGCTGGGGAAGGCCTCTTGGAGATGACAATGTAGCCAAGTTATTTATTATGATTATTATTTGTTCTTTTTAGATATACATGACAGTAGAGTGTACTTTGGCATACTGTACATACATGGAATATAACTTATTCTAGTTAGAATCCTATTCTTGTGGTTATACGTGATGTGGAGTTACTCTAGTCGTCTATTCATATACAAGAAGAGGAAGGTTATGTCCAATTAATTCTACTGGCTTTTCTAATTCCCCTCTTTCTCCCTCCCCTTTGTTTCCCTTTGTCTAATTTAATGGACTTTTATTTTTCCCCTCCCCATGTGGAACCAAGTTTTAAAGTACAAGCAGGATTTAGTCAGGTGAATACATAACAATCCATGACGCCATAAACCATGGTATACTCTTCTGGAAACAACTATAAGTATGATATATTGGCTTCAGGAAAGGAAAGTAAGTATTGAGCACTGAAGCACTGCAAATAAACAAAACTGTCCGATAATGGGTATAAAGTACGTAGACCTTAGAAGGAAGAAAAAGGCCAGCTTTTCTCAAGAATATAAAAATCCCTCTTCATGAGGACAATAAAAATCCAGTGTTGCAAAATTTGAATTTATAACCAACGCCCGTTGATTATGGCATGCCAGTTTTCTATTGAAGGAGGAGAAAGAATCAGAAAGCCACCTGCATGATACAGTASAGACACTGTACCTTTCTAACTTTCCTGTGGCTTTCTGGCTATGTGGCACAAAGTTACATATTTCCAAACTATTTTTAGTTGAATAACTGAGATATATGGAATGATTTTTGCAACAATGTGTGGCTCAAAATCTCTTCCCATTGGATATCCCTGGATACGTATGAGGTTCCTAAATGCCTTTGTTTGGGTGGAAATGAGATAGCATATCTTTTCACCAGAATACCTAAAATTGGGATATTTCAAATCTCAGGAGTTGGTTTTCAAGTTTGACTAATTATCAGGGTGTTTGGAAGGCAGGAGGCAATGCCTACTCTCTTCCTGGAACTATGCATCCTGTTAACTTTCCTTATTTCTCAAGCATACCGGGGCATGTTATGTTGATTTGACTTTTATCAATATTAAATTACAGCATGCTTCCTCTTTTTCATTACAGAAACAACAAAAAAAAATTGCAATAAACTTCCTGTGTCTTTGTTTCGCTCAGAAATTGGAATTATATTATTTGAGTGGAGAGCTCAAATTTAGCTCGAAGAAAGCATAATTAATGAATTGCAAGGTAGTTGTGAATCATTAAACTAAACAATGCTCTGTTTCCCCAAATTCTACAAATGCATTTAACACCGCCTTAGAAACAAAATTATTCTCTGGAGTTGGAAAAGTGTATTTCTGTATTGTGTGTTAGCACTAACCTTGAAATGTCTGCCATCTACCATTATACCCCTGTATTTCTCCCATAACAGTTTCAGTAAACTTACATCCCTGACACAGTTACCATGAACAGACCTCTATCTGGGAATGATTACACATGCATATGGATTTAACTTAACACAGGAATAAGTTAGCACCTTTCTTTGACCTCTTTCTGAGCACAACATACAAAGAGAATCCAGAACTGATGAATATCTTATAGCAGCTGGCTTCCACAGGTGGTAAGACAAGCTCTGACACAGGATGGGTCTAGTCATTTGGCAAGTGTGAGGTTTGGAAGTGAGCATCTGCCAGTCTTGTTATTAAGTGGGAGTTGAATTGTTTTTATGAACTTCCAACCTGGAGAACTTAAATGTATTTTTGAAGCAGGCTCACTTACAATTTAGCTGAAAAATAAAATACTGTTTTCTTATATTTTTGCATTCCTCAATTACTGGAAGTAGTTATATAGGGTTCTCCTGAGGGCCCCAACTTCTCCATTTGATTAGTGAAGGCTTGCTTCTGGTTCAAACTTTCTCTCTCTAGACAACTGCTACTTAAGAAATACAATGACCACTATGTCCATAAGACAAACCCAGATTGTCTTCTCTATGAGTGAATATTTTCACTATTCTGAAAATATTTTTTAAAGAATATCTTCATTCTAGCTCTAGGAAATTACATTGGGAGGTTAAAGAAATATGGGTGAAGACTGTAGGCAAGTGTAGGCCAAATATCTCTGTTTATGAAGAGACTCTAAACTCAGCAGAGTATCTAAAATTTGACTTGCAGGGTCTGGACCCAATAAGAGATGGCCATTCAGCAGAGAGTATTTTAGTGCTCCCAGCAGATGCCATTATTTGGCACCAACTGTAAAGCTCTAGATTAGTGCTGACAACAAAAGATAAAGCAAGGCACATATGCAATTTAAAAGATTTCTAATAACTGTGTTAAAAAAGTATAAAGGAATGGATAGAATTTTATTTTAATCTAGTATATCTAAAATATTATCATTTCAACATGTAATCCATATAAAATATTAATGAAATATTTTCTTTTTTCAAGTAATAAGTATTGAAATTCAATGTGTTTGTTACTCTTACAGCACATCTCAACTCAGACTAGTCACAAAAAACCACATGTGGTATATAGCTATCATAAACAGCATACCTCTGAGCTACAGGGCTACAGGTGTTGCTTACTTGCTAAGCCTGCACGAAGCCCTGGGTTTGATCCTCAGCACTGCGGACAATACAAAAAAAAGTGCAGATGTATTCTATTCAGGATGGACAGACAGACAAATGTTGCCATAGTAGTGCTACAGCCACACACATTCAAGGATATTGAGACATTCTAAACCAGGGTGATCTTCTAGTTTTAGAGACTAGTGTTTCAAAATGTGTGCAAGAGTCTAGTATTTTCAGGAATAATTTGCAAATGCTGAATATTTTAGAAAACTATTTTTTGTGCCAGAATGAGACCATCTACTGCAATGTGCTGAAGAATCTGAAAGACAGGCTTACTGGTCACTGGATGATGTGTCACATTAGTTTTTTTTTCCAGTTTTATTATGCTTCAACATAACTCATTTATTCCATAAATATTATTGAAACTTCTCAGTTCATTGTTAAAACAGAAAAATATTGATTATAAAAGTAGATTCAACAAAACAGGTAGCAAAATATATTTAAATAACTATGCAATCAGCTTTACTTACTCTGTGCAACTCTCAAGGGTAACATCAACTTGAACTAGAAGTAGGACTCTGTTTGAATCTACAAACTCTCAAGGTTTTGCAGATTCTTCCCAATTCTAACCTTTCGTGATCAGCCATAAAGTAATTACCTTAGATAAATGTTCCTTTATGATTTCATCATCTCTCTTCACCACCTGCATCATTTCTTGGCCTCCAAGGTAGGCAGCATTAGCTACATTTATAAAATAAAAAAGTCAAACACTTAGAATATGGAGAGCAATACAAATATCAAATTAATTTTAATCAATTCATCTACCTCCCTTTTTTATAAACCAAATGTGCTATCTGATGTGACATACTTGTGAGTCTAAGAGAGGCACATGAGACAAGTTACATGCAGAGTCTCTGGAAACAAGAGCACATGCTTCTAAAGAACCTTCTCTTAACCCTGCTTGGATTCTCAAAAGTAAAGTTTAGTTGTCCAACAGTTTAATATTAGATATCACAATAGACACATGTAATTGTACCTGACAATTTGCACTATTGTGATTTAAGGACCAGAAGCACAAATTGTTACAGATAAATCCTGTACACCAGGGAAACTGCATGTGATAACTAACATGAAATGGTGATTTTTTTTTAAAAGGAAAAAAACTAAAAAAGAATGCTCATTTTTAAAGATAGACTTACAGGATCTCTAAGAGTATTCAATGAGGATACATTCCATTATACTGGTTGAAAAATAAGCAAAATAACCCTCACTTTCAAGATGTCTTTGACATCTGTTCTCCTATCTTTAAATATCTGCAATTACTGATGAGAAGTTCAGTGTCAGTTTGATTCGCTTTTCTTTGAAGGTATTTGCATGTGTGTGTGTATGTGTGTATGTGCAACTCTGAAGTGTTTAAGACCTTCTGCATATCAGTCATGAAAGATTCTCAATCTTTATGATGATGTATCATGACGTGGGTCATTTTCAATTCACTGCAAACTTCAGTGTTATTGATAAGTGTTTCCTCTTGGTTTTCATTTTTCTCACTTACTTGCTCTTCTCTTTCCTGTTTTAATACATAACTTTTGTTGCTGTTCTATAATTGGTTCTTCACCTCACTTTTATCTTTTGCCCTTTCTAATGAAGTTTTAATTTGGACAATGTGTGTGCTGTGCAAGACAGCAGGATTGGGGTGACTGGTGATAAATCTGTTTGCAGAGGCCTTCTCAGGTTCATCTTCCTTCTCGCACTTGAACTTCTGAGTCTCAACTTGGGAGAGACAGGCTCTTTTGTAACTGTGTAGACCATTTTCTCAGCCAGTGCTATACAGTGTATTTCACATGATGAATGATAGAGATGTTCTGTACCTGCTGCTTATTACATGTGGCTGCTGCACTTCAAATGTGGCTAGTGGGACAAAGAACTAAACTTCTAATGTAATTATAATTAATTTTACCTTCAACAGCTGCATTTGACAGTGGCTTCTGTACTAGACAGCAGGGCTGTGAGTGCTTGTTCCCTATACTTTGCTTCATCAGCCTCCCCTACTCTTGCTCACTCTATTTCATAAATTCACTGAAATTTCTTGTTAGCTAAGGACTTCCCTGTCATTCTCTTATCATCCTCAAGAATTCCTTTGATATAATTTTTATCAAATGAAGGCAAGTATTTGTGATTAATTGGCTTTTCTTCAAAGAGAAGTCTTTGCTTTTTCTAAAGTAATAAATCACTTTTTTAAGAAATAATTTATTAACTTCTTTAATTCCCACAGTGATTCTAAAAACATCTACATGATATTAATTATTGGGTTAGCCAGTTTCTTTGTTCACAATGGGGCACTTACTATGTCTTAGGTAAAGGAGACGCAAAGAGATAAACCCTATCCCAGAGAATTTACATTTAAGTGGTTTTTATTTATTTTATGCCATGTGTATAATAGCAAGCTGCTTCCTCCATTTAAACATCTTAAATATAGCCATTATATAATTCCTAAAGTGAGATTTTAATCATTCTTGTCCATCTGTGATATTAGCATAAATACACATAGGGGTAAATAGTCTGCATCTCCTTGGCCTAATCTAAATCAAGACAGGCTGTTTAGTCACAGATTTACAGTAAGGATGTGTAATGCAAGACTCTAAAGTCCTACTTCCAAAGTCGGTACTCCACATTACTGTAATATAATCCAAGGAATTGATAATAACCAAATAAAACAATAGGTTAATAAATTATGGTCCATCCCCCTCAATTAATTCAACACATAACTTACTAAAAATTATGCTAAAGAATATATAATGTCAAATACATATTTAAGTATAACAGTAGTTGGAAAAAAGCAGATTACAAACTGATAAAGTATGATCCTATTGTAAATAAAAGACAGATATGTGGTACAGATATATGAAATGATGAACAATAAAATAATAATAGTGGTTCTTTCTAGTTGATGGAATCCATGTTCTCCCTTTTCTTCTCCCTCTCCTCCCTCCCTTCCAACTGGTAATGGTATTCTTCCTGCAAATACAAGATCTATAATGCATCTATTCAGGAAAAGTATTTACTTGTGTTCTTCTTCTAGCCTTGACATTTTTTATTAGTTCTATTCAGTTATACATGACAGCAGAAAGATATTCAATTTATTGTACACAAATGGAGCAGAATTTTTCACTTCTCTGGTTGAGCATGAAGTAGAGTCACACAATTCGTGAACTCATACATGTACCTAGAGTAATGATGTCTGTCTCATTTTGAGAGTGCAGGTCTTGTCCCTGGATATGAGATACCCTGTTCATTCACAGGTGGGTAGAAAGCTTTCCCTTATAGATGCAATCAGAATGATGAGCTTCTTTCCTGTTAACAGCAGGCCCTGCTGTATAGCAATCCACTTTCCAGCTCTCCTGTGTAATGTGGCTATCATTGAGTGTGACATAGATAGGCTAGTCTCAGCTAAGATTCTCATTTTTTGACACAATGTTAGAAAGACACTAATCTGCAGTGAAGGCCCCGTTTATCCAAGATAGGTGGATATAACTCATTCCCCTACCTTCCCTGCAGATATAGTGGGTCTGATTTCTTTTTTGTTACCAAGGGGCTGAGTCCCATATTACAAGAAGTGAAAGCACAATACTTTCTTATATGTGACAGAAGAACCTTAGGAGCAGTCCTAATTAGTCCAAGAATGACTTATATAGTACACCTTTTCTTCTAGGTAGAAGTTCCTCATTGCAATTCTGGGTGCTTGAAATTCAACACAAAACACTCTGACCATGAGCAAAATGTTACTCTGTAATTATAAACGGTAGATTTACTTTTACCTTTCCAGATCCATTACAGAGATTCCAGTTGACCAGTGATGTTCATAATCAAATCAATTCGTTTCTTATATATATATAGTATAAGAAGTATAAAATGTAGAGTAACATGCCCTTCCTATAAAAATGTCTTTTTTTAGCCTTCCTATAAAAATGCCAATATAGATAGTATAGAACTTACAAAAGAATTATATTACAAAAGCTAAATCCTAAATCAACTGTGTTAAATTTGGTACTTGTTTCCCTTTGGGGGGATGTCCTATGGTAACGGAGGCCTTCAATTTACATTCTAACTAGGTAAGTAGCAATGAGTACTTACATCAGACATTCTCCAACTTTTAGTAAGGCCACATTCATTTATAGCACTGGGGGCTATAAATGCAATGGAAAGGTCACCTGCAAACTGTTAGGTAATGCCAGATAAAGTTCTGATGTGGGGTGTGGGAAACTTAACTTTGGTGCATGGCTGCCATGTGAGATGCCTCCAAGGCCCCACATCTATATATTTGAAGTGTACTGTGTTATAGCATTAAATGTGTGGTTTTAATACCTCATACTTGGCATTTTTAAAATAAAGTTTTGTAAGTCAAGAAATAATTAAACTTCAATCACTGTTAGTAAAAGATTTCTGATTTTAAGCTGTTTATAAAACAAAATCTTCCTCATAAAATTTGAGATATGTTTTAAGTTTCTATGAAACAAAAATGTCTTCAGAGATGGAAAAGTGGAATCTGTTAATGAAGATTGCTGAATTTTAGATAGAAGCCATGCTGTTGCTTCCAAAAATCTCAACTGAATTGTAATCTCAAATGGAAATGACCCCAGCTTGGCACAATGGTACACACCTATAATCCCAGAGGCCTGGGAGGCTGAGGCAGGAGGATTGCAAGCTCAAAGCCAAATTAGCAAGGCCCTAAGCAATTTAGTGGGACCTTCTCTCTAAATAAAATACTTTTAAAAGGGCTGGGATATGGCTCAGTGGTTAAGTGATTAAACATCCCCAGTAACCCCCCCCCCACAAAAAAAAAGTGGGGGGGGGGAGGGGGAGGGGGAGAATGACCTCACATAGTTCCTCCATTTCTGAACAAAATGGAGTGATAGAAAATGGATTTGATTTCCTCTCTAAAACTAGAGCAACAAATAAAATATATGAAGAAGAAAAGATTTTCAAGACACTGGATATTGGGCAAAGAACCTAGAGAAAACTGAAAATGATGAGGTGACTGTTATAATCATCTTAGCTTGTTGTTTGTGTTGAAAAGTCTTCAGGCTGCAGTACAGGAAGGAGGAATACATGCAGAATTTGGTAATCTCCCCAAGTTGAGGAGAGCATGAGTCTTTTTTTTTTTTTTATATATTCTACATTTTATGATGCACTGACATCTTGGTGGCCTTGCTGACCAGGGGGAGATTACCTCTCTCAGGGAAAGTTAGTTCTTTGATTTCCCTGCGAACATGCCTTTCACATGCAAGCCAACCAATCCAAAGTCCATACTCCTTGTTACTTAGGAAACAAGCCAGCAAGCACAGTGTTTTCCCTGTTCTAAATCACCCCAGGGCCAAGTACCAGACAATTAGGGACCATCTCAAAAGTCCAGAGCTTGGCAAAATTATTCAAATTAGCTATCTTAAACTTGCCTCACCCCCTCCTTTTCTTGGAACCCCTAGGCCATGTTCACCTGTGTTCCTTCTGCTTTCTGACCCAATGAGGTGCTTACCTGTCTAACCCTGCCTCGTGTAGCATGACCCCCTGCTCTCCTGGAAACTGTAAGTAACTAACTTCTCTTTCAACACAGTTTGTTTTCATGTCTGTCACTTTACCATACCTGATTAAATCAAATTCCAGGTACATTTTAAAACAAGGAGACAGGACTGACAGTCTAGGGAGGCGAATGCTTTGGTTTTTGACAAGGCAAAATAGTGGGAGGA